TGACACATTTTTTTAGTTTTTATTTATTTTTTGACGTGGGTTGTGTCACGTTTCGGCTTTTCCACAATTTGACCCTTTGTTTTCCAATTGCCATTTGTGACGTTTCGACGTGAACCATACCATTGGTTGGGTTCACGGCATAACCCAAAAACATGGATCCGAATTACCAAAGCAAGCCCAGGATTGCGAATTCAATGTCGAAACATGTTGCAACGTCGTGTTCTTCAGTGAGTTCCGCACAAGGTGCAGAGCATGCATGCATTGGTTGACATTGAAAACCAAGAAAGAGATTTGAGAGAGAAACAATTTTGGTCAATCCCAATACATAATTCTTTCTCCAATTATGATTATGTAAACAACCTATAAAATCTTCTTTTATATCAGTTATATACATATACATATATATACCACATAAAATATATGAAAACATTATTCACAGAACCCATCAGGTGATCAAGCCATTCAATTAATGAGAAGTTTAGAAAAAGAATCGATAAAAGACATATATACACACAAATTGTTAAATTTAGGCAATCAATAATCGATCTGCCCGATTCCGTCATCAACGTCTTGTACTATATTTTCGGGTCAATTTGACGATGCGACGTGGTACGCCGACCTGCCGGTTTGACGATCATCTTGTGCCCATTGTTCACGTCGATCTGGGGTTCCTCGATCGAACTTGAACCGGTCATGATAGCTTCAGAAGAGGCCCTGTGAAAAACGGATTTAGTATTGTTCACGTCGATCTTGTGCCCAATGTTCACGACGATCATCTTGTGCCCACTCTTCTTCTTCCCCATCTTTGTCTCCAGTGACCACTACAGTCTCTTCTTCAGGTGCGTTTCAGAGCATGGGCTTGACAAGTACCATACGGCGTTTCTCGACATCAAATAATCAGAATTCACTTCTCAGTAACAGAGGATTGAAGGGTTCAAGTGGAGGAAATCGCCGATCTTCGGGCGAAAGAAAATTCCTTTCAATGTCCAAAGAAAACATAGAGGAGTGTGTTTCTTACACAGTTCACATTCCTACAACACCAGATCGGCGAGACATGTTTGAGTCCCAGACTAGCCCCTTTGAAGACAGCAAGAAATTATGGCACCTAATGGGGGTTCTTACGTTAAGGATATTATTTACACTGGAGGATTCAATTTTGTGACTCAAGCCCATGTAATCGAGAACTCTGTGGATGAACCCAAGGCAGTGAAATCAGAATTGGTTTGTGGAATGAAGGGTTGTGATGAGAAAGCTCAGGATGGTACTTGGAAGGCTCAATGCGAGTGTGGGTTCAAAATTTGCAGAGATATCTCTACTATCACACCTACACCCACCCCCACCAAACGTGGGATTACATATAAAAAAATGAAAACATAACAGCCCATAATTGATGTAAGGGCATATTTGTCCCCCACATAACAATGTAATTCAAAAAAGGAGTTATCAGTAAGATATCTCTACTATCATGGACTGCCCAATGAAACAAAATATTCGTGGGACCAAATGGAATACAATTTCGCCATATGGGACTTTCTGATAAATTCCCCGACTTTTTATAATACATTTGTATCTCATTTTTTGTTTAGTCCTCTAAATAGGTTGACTAATCTTGCGACTATGGCTTTCCATATCTATCCATAAAAATCCTATAAGAGTCCCATAACAGTGCAAATTATTCCATTTGCACCGTACTTACTAACTTAAGGTGAAATAGAATTGCAATTGCCTTAAATGAGTTGAAAAGCGAAAACAATAAAACCTGATTAATTTTTATTTTTTTCTTTTTCATAAGTCAAATGCTTAGACGTTTCACAAAAATTTCTATATTTAAAAATATGAAAGATTATAAATACACTCTTTGAGATTTGTTGAAAATTCCTATAGTTCTAGAAATTACAAACACCCCCATTGTCAAAAAATTTTATCTAACAGAATTAACAGAAAAATAAAATCTCTAACTACTCTCTTATCTAACAAAAAAATTACTTAAATTTTTAATTGGAATAGATTTATGACATCATTAAAAAATGTTAATTGACTTGATCATTTATTAATGAAATGAGTCATTTGTTATACGCTTGAAAACTTGAAAGTGCATGATGTAATTTCTAAAATCACGTAGGGTAATCTGCATTTTAAATAAACCTCAAATGGTGTGTGTTATAAGGGATTTGGCTCGTCTTCAGTTGATAGTTCAAATGGAACAGATAGTTAGGGTGTCTTACCGGTAACAGTCATTAAACAGAGGTCTCTTACCCGTAATAGTTTATAAAATGCATTTGCCCAATATTTTTACTCTTGGTTTAGTTAAATCTTTTCATAAACTCTTAGCGGTGAGAGACCTCTGTCTGATGACCTTTATTACTAAGAGATCCCAATTGTCTGGTTGAGTTGAAATTTCAACTAAAGACAAGCGATTTCCTTTTATAAAATCATAGAACACTTATTATCAAAGTCAAATAGCAAAAATGACGATGAAATGTGAAAATAATGTGAAGGATGATTTTCTCTCCGTTTGTACTTTTAATTTGCGGAACCCATCAGTTTTGAGAAACGGTGAATTTATAGTAGGATGAAATTTTCTTAATATGTTCGATTGATGATTTATTTTCAAAACAATGAAACCAACACGTGAACAACACCTATTGCATAATAAGGACAAAAGGTTGCACTGTTGCCACAAAACGATTAGGGCAAATTACATTTACCCCCTCGAGGTTTAGGTAAATTACATATACTCCCTGAGATTTGAGAAATTACAGATACCCCCCTGAGGTTTATATTTTCATAACAAATCAGGGGGCAATTTGTTATAAAATATAAACCTCAAGGGGCAATTTTTTTATGAAAATATAAACCTCAGGGGTATCTGTAATTTCTCAAACCTCAGGGGGGGTATTTGTAATTTAGCTAAACCTCGAGGAAGGTATATGTAATTTGCCCAAAGATTTTATTACTTCCTATCTATTACAGTTTACTTTACATGAAACAGAATCATTAATTGTTATGGAACCAACAATTTAAGTTTTGGCATTGATTGGAACATAGTAAAATCAATTTATTGGACTTAAATGATTGACTAATTATGACTAACATCAATTTATTGGGCTACATTGTACTACTTGTTATAATGCTGACCTTGGAGTCTAATGTTTAACAATTATGTTACGAATATTACAGGTTACATTCCCTGCCTTGGAGACATTGTATATTACTGGACTAACAAAGATAACAGAGATATGGCATAGGAATTTAGTTCCATCAGAGTCCTTTCGACAATTGAGAGACCTGGTCATCTTGCGCTGTGAGAAACTAGTGAATGTTGGTTAGTCCAATATGCCTAACGATTACCGAAGCTAGAATAACTTAATGTTAGGTGTTGTCGAGAGCTGAAAGTAATAGTATTGAAGATTGGGGGGGAAGAAGAAGGAAAAGCAGAAAACAACAATTATACCATCTCGTTCCCTCAACTAACGAGTTTGAGACTTGAAGATTTGCGGAGCCTCGAAAACTTCTAGATCCGAAACACAATCCCTCTTCATTAGCCAGGTATGAATGTTCTCATCATTTTTTTTGTTGCAGATGACCTCTAAAACCAGAAACACGTGTGTATATATACATATATGTCTATGTATGTTTGTTTGTATGTATTTTTTCTTAGATTAGGCTTTTCTCCTCTCCATAATCTATATTCAAATGTGTTGTTCTGGCCCTTGGGCCCACTACGAGTCCCATTTTAATTATTGAAACCGTGCACTTTTTAGGATTCTTCGTTTATATAATCCTGAAAAAAATTAAATCAATTTGATAATTTTAGCCTTTTCAATTTATCGTGTTTGTCATTAAACAAAAGGATGGTTTTTATTTTATTTAATTTTCTTTTTAAACACACTTATCATTCATTTTTTCAGATGCAATTGTAATAAATTAAATAGGCTAAGATTGTTGGATCGATCCTGTTTTTTAAATGATACACACTAAGGACTTTAAAAAATGAAAATTTTAAATCATCAAAACGTGACCCATGGTGGACTCCCGCGGCTTGAAAGGTACCCTTGTTGGCTATGTACTGATTTGTGTATTTATTTTGAATCTTTCATATTTTCCAATTTAATACTTTGACATTTGCTTGAATATTACTATCGAAAAACTTGAAAAAATAAAATAGTAAAATTCAAGGTTATAAATAAACCTCAAATGGTGTGTTTTTATAAGGGATTTGTCGTTTATGTAGTTGAAAGCTCAAATAGAACAGACAGTTAAGGTCTCTTACCGATAACAGTCATTAAACGGAGGTTTCTTACCAGTAAGAGTTTATGAAATGCATTGGCCCATTATTTTAACTCTTCGTTTAGTTAAATCTTTTCATAAACTCACAACGGTAAGAGACTTCCATTTAATGACTTTTATCGGTAAGAGATCTCAACTGTCTGGTCCAGTTGAAATTTCAATTGGAGACAAACGATTCCCTTTCATAAAATCGTAGAACACAGATTATCAAAGTCAAATAGAAAAAGTCACGATGAAATGTGAAAATAATGTGAAGCCCGATTTTCTCTCATTTTGTACTTTTAATTTGCCGTACCCATCAATTTTGAGAAAGGGTGGCTTTATAGTTGGTTTTAAATTTTCTTAATATATTCAATTGATGATTTGCTGTCAAAACAATCAGACCAACTCGTGCACAACACCTATTGCACAATGAGAGGGCAAAAGGTTGCACCAATGCAACAAAAAGATTTGTTACTTCCAATCTATTATAGTTTCCATTACATAAAACAAAATCATATTAGTTGTTATGGAACCAACAATTTAAGTTTTGGCATTAATTGGAACATAGTAAAATCAATTTATTGGACTTCAATTATTGACTAATTAAGACTAACATAAATTTATTGGGCTACATTGTACTGCTTGTTATAACGCTGACCTTGGAGTCTAATTTTGTTCATCCAATTTAACAATGAGGCTCTCACTTCATGTTAGCTAACAATTCTTCTGATCTTCCTCTACTTCTAACAGAAACTACGGTTGCGGATAGAGGATCCACCGCGAAGAAAGCATATGGTGTACCTTGGAGGAGCAGTCCTTGCAGGAATTATGAAGGTACAATATTGCCTCTCTCTCTCTCATACAAACCAGGACACAGTGGTTTCAGTGATGTGTTCTGTCAACTTGCATTTTTCACCCCCATTTTAAGCATGTCTTATGCTTCTAAAAGTAGACCACAATATTTGGATAGTGCATTTGTTGCTTTCAGATTTGTGAAAAGCAAACTGAAATGAAGATCAAAAAAGGAAAGCAAGAAAAGAAAAAATAAAGGAAAAATAAGTTTCTTAACAAAAAGCAATTTTTTAGATATAGGGAACAAAAACATGAATTGATATGAAGTTGGACATTGAGAAATTTGATTACTTGTGCAGGATGCACCGGAGTTTTGGATTAGCAGAGAAGATTACCTGGAAGAGGGAATTGCATGTCTAAGCAAGTGTGGCCAAGCATGAATTTTTGGATAGGAGAGAGTGTTAGCATTTAAGTCTTCCAAGAGTTAGGTGGCTATGCAGTGATCTATTTTTGTGATAATTCTAGCGAAAGTTTCGCTATGCCATATGTATCGCCCAAAAAAAAAAATCTCACCATGCCATACCCCTATCGCTAGGTATAGGGAAAAAATTATGTATTTTAATGCTTCCCGCATATCTTTATATTGGTGGAGCAGATGTCTATCATGTATATCATTGTAACAATTTTTGTGCTTGAATTTTCCTTTTATCCTATTTGGTCATATATAATACAGGGAAATAAATGAACTTATAGTTTTGGAGTTTCTAACCATGTCAGTGACCATTCTGCATACTCTTGAAATATGACGTATTTTGCTTCTCTTGCTCACCATGGTTATTGAGTATTTTTAATCTTTATGGTGTCACATCTATCGTAGGAAATTATTTAGGCATTTCTATTTATGTTGTGTGGTTGAGCTCATTGCTGGGATTTCATGATACTTTTCGCTGCTAATAATTTTAAGTAATTAAGAGAGTTGTGAATTAGAGAGGATGAAACTGATGTGCTATCAGAGAAGAACTTGTTTGAAAATTCCGCACTTTTGAGGCCTTATAACCGTACAATCAGCTGTATAATAAGTGAATTTGTATTAGACAGTTCCAATATTGGAGAGATTCCTAATCCCTATGTTTGAATTATGTAAAAGTTAACCAACATAGGTGTCAATCAACTCTCTTTCTCCTCAATGCTTTCTGGATAATGCTTGCAAATTTCATTTTTATTGTAGTAAAATGAAAAACTTGAATACAACATATTCATGCAACCAAATTGTACATACGCGAAAATTTTTGTGGGTAGTTATTCTTAGAGCATGAGACTTGGAAAAGGCAGAGTAGGCAGATGGAAAAAACTTTAGTACAGTTCCTAATTTTTACACAAGGTAATATCTCTCCTGGATGGTCTGTAATTCAATGCATTTAGGCTGTAAATGCAGAGATTGGATCGTCTTGATTTAACTGCTATCCCATCTGACGTGGTTATGTGACCAGGAATGTTGCATGAAGAAGATGAGCTCCACATCAAGCTTGCCCTGCAGGATGACACCATTGCTTTATCCCTTGCACAATCAATTCCATCAACTGAAGGTATTTCCGACTTATAGACTCCATACTGGTTTGTAGTTCTATTGACCGAGAATGCTATCTGTTCAATTGTTTGTGGAGAAGTTGCTTTGAATGTGCAGTCTATTTTAACATCCACACCTGCTTATACAATTTAATATGTGAAGAAGCATGAGGTTCTATTATATTCTCTACCTAGATAAGTAAAAGGGCAGACCAATGCACAAAGTTTCCGTCATCCCGTATGCCGTATGTGGAGTGTGTTATGAACCCATGATGCCCATATTACAGTAAAGCCCAGTTACCCTTGTGCTAAGCACCTCCCCGTTTGATGGGGTTTGTACCCAACAAGGGGCTCATTGGTTCAGTGATTAAAACTCAGCCTACAAACCGTGAGGTTGTGAATTTGAACACAAGAGCAGTCACTTTGTGCAAATTATGCCAAATGTTACCCAATCTACCTAGATATGAATATAAAAATAAAAACAAATGACAAAAGTAGAAGTGGGTATTTGAATTTGAGAACCTGGTAAGAAGTAGCTGTGCCTGGAGAAGGTGTTGTTGGAGCAGATATCACAGTAAACAATACCCATAACAGTGATTTGGGGGTTGGCTGTTGTTGCTGGTTCAATTTCTTGAGCTAGTGATAGAGTTAACAAGGATGAAAGTAGAAAAAGAATTTTAGAATCCATAAGAACCAAAATTCTGGAAGATAAAAGTTCTTCCTTTAGGCTTGTGCACCAATAACTAGCAAGCAATCTAGTTCTCTCTCTGCAGTTGAGAATTGGGTGCGAGTGTGTGTGGTGTGAATAATGAGTGACAGATGGTGAACCAACTGTAAGCGAAGAGTTGGAGGAATTTTTTATATTCACAACAAACAAAGACATGTGAATGTCCTTTGGCAGATAGTGGAGTGGCTGGATGTTTAGAAGAGAGAGAGAACAGCTGCTTGCTTTTGGAAACATTTGGAGAATGGTTCTCCAAAACTCTTTTATCTTTGGATAAATTACAAATACACTCCTTGAGATTTGATTAAAATACGAATCGCTTCTGTAGTTCTAAAAATTACATTCCATCCCCTGAGGTTTTTAATTTCATAACAAATCATCAATTTTATTAGTAAATCAACAAGTCAATTAATAGTTTTTAATGATGTTAGAAATATATTTCAATTAATAATTTAGGTAATTTTATTATTGTATAGGAGAGAAATTATGAATTTTATTTTTTTAGTTAATTCTGTTAAAAAAATTTCTAACAATGGGGTATTTGTAATTTTTCAAACCACAGGAGCAATTTGTACTTTTAGCAAATTTCAAGGGGTGTATTTATAATTTACTCATAATAATATATATGCAAAATCTTAGGAGAGGTTGGTGTAATTTATCTATGTTGATAATGAATGAGACTTCTTGGTTTATGGTTATTCGTCTTTTCACGGGCAAATCAAAGGATAATATGATCATTTTCATACCCAACTAACGCTGTTTGTATGAACTTAATAGATTGAGGAAATCTTAATAATAATTTTAAAAATAAAAAAAAAATTAATATAACTATTAAATTCATAAGGGAGTGTTACGCATTGCACACCATGTGAAGTTGGAAGTTAAGAATGGAGGCTGTAGGTTTGGGCTAGAAATTTTGGAGACATTCAGCCGAGCTATCCCCTTGTAGGGTGGTTGTATTGATAGCTCTCCATTTATTTTGGTAGTTGGTTGTTGGCAAGTAGCTCTCCCGCTTGTGTATAAATGAAAGAGCCCGCTTGTGTATAAATGAAAGAGCAGGGAGCTAAGATTGTAAGGAGAGAGATCAAGAGTGAAGAAAAGAGAGAGTTGTGAGAAGTGTATGATCTATGAGTTGAGTTGAGAGAGTGACACTCCTCCTCTATTTTGTATTTGTTTTTTTTATCATAGTGAAGCTTTATCTCTTTCTCTCGTGGACGTAAGCATTGGGCCAAACAATGTAAATATTTGTGTCTCATTTGCGTGTGTGATTGCTTGTTGATTATTTTCTGGGTGTGTTTTAATCCTAACAAGTGGTATCAGAGCTAAGATGAGCGAGTTTCAAAAAAACAGAGTGTTTTTCTTTGACACTGAAATTTTTGAGTTACTAGAAATCGCGCTTTGAGTATACCAGAAGGACTGTCTCGACGAGAGCATTCCAGGCCTAGAAAAATCAATCCAAGAAGATTATTTACGCGCTCTCACGCGTGTCGCCGGAGACTTGTCGAAGGATCACCAAAAAGTTCAATCCGATGAAGAAGTTGAAGTTGAAGATGACCCTTCTGTTGTTTATGTAATAAATATTTATTTGTGAAGATATAGAACACAAGTTTTGTGTTGACAGAGTGGGTAAAGCTTAGGTATTGGTGTGGGAAGTCACGGGTTCGAAACTCCTTAGCAACGATTTTTTTTTTCTTCTTCAGAATCCATTAGAGTCGAGCCGAAACCAAGGTGCCTAAGCCAATGACGTCAACTAATCTGAAGTAATTATCTGGTGCTTTGTAGATGCTCCAGATTCCGACAATCTGAACCGTTAAACTATTTTTGGCTAGATCTAAGCCATTTGAAGTTCGTTTTTGACAATCCAATAGTGTTTTCCAACTATTTGAAATATTTCGGACATATCCATATAGCCAAATTTTACAAATCAAATTTCAAAAATTTGCATTTTTTATTTTGGCAATCCGAATTGCTTTTCCGGATAATTTGACAAGTCTGGACTCAACGGCGAAGTCTGATTTTTCAGATAGAGATAATTTTTTGTAGAGTCAATTATTGATAGAGGAATCAATATTGACTTCGGGATCCATGATCAAGCTGAATGCTTCCAACTATGCAATTTGGAAGCCCAAAATGGAGGATGTTTTGTACTACTGAGATTTGTTTGACCCCATTGAGCTTAATGGAGTTAAACTAGCTGCGGAGAAGGATGAAGATTCGATGTGGAAGAACCGAAAGACCATTGGTCAGATTAGACAATGGATCGATCATAGTGTCTTCCATAATGTCGCTCAAGAAATTGATGTCTATGCTCTTTGGACAAAATTAGAAGGCATGTACCAATCGAAGACTGCTTGGAATAAAGCCCTCCTCATGAGAAGGCTTATAAATTTGAAGCTGAAAGGTGGTGTCCCTGTTGTAGAACACACCAGTGAGTTCCAAAATCTAGTGAACCAACTAACAATTGTTAAAATGGAGTTGAATGATGAGATGCCTATTGCTGCTTAACTCCTTGCCAGATAATTGGGAGACGCCGGTGGTGTCCCTCAGCAACTTTGCACCTGAAGGAAGACTAACCACGAACATGGTCACGGATGCTTTATTTGGGAAAGAGGCAAGAAATAAAGACATGGGTGGAGATCAGCCTCATACCCTCGTCACAGAAAATAAAGGTAGAGGCAGAGGTAGGGAGAGAAGCAAAAGTAGAGAATGTAGCAGAGGAAGATCTCAAGACAAAGGGAAGTCTAGAGAAGGTACGAGCCGGCCAAGGTTCAAGTGTTACCATTATGGCCATGAGGGTCACATAAAGAAATATTACTATGTCTTGAAGGGAGAACAAAAACAAAGCAATAGACAACCAAAGACCAAAGATGGGACCACTGCAGTAACTGTCTTAGAGGATATTGCATTATTCTCTGTTGAAGAAGAAGAATGTCTCCATATGTTAGACAACGACACCAAGTGGGTGGTAGATACAGCAGTTTCCTACCACGCTACACCCCTGAAGAAGTTCTTTATTACGTACCAAGTTGGAGATTTTGGTATAGTGAAGACGGCTAACTCCAGTTTTTCGAAGATTGTGGGAATCGGTGATGTTCGTATCCAAACCAAATTTGCGTGCGCAAGGATGTTGAAAGATGTCAGGCATGTTCCCGATTTATGCCTGAATTAGGGATAGCCTTAGATTGACAAGGCTATGAGAACTACTTCGGCAAAGGCATGTGGAAATTGAAGAAGGGATCTCTGGTGGTAGCCAGAGGACAAGTAGATAGTATGTTGTACAAGACTCATGTGAACGTGATTTCAGATAGCCTCAACGCAAGAAGATGAGGCCTCGTCAAATTTGTGGCATAAAAGGTTAGGTCACATGAGTGAGAAAAGGTTGCAGATTCTGGCAAAGAAGTCTTTTATTCCCTTTGCCAAAGATACGAAATTGAACCCTTGTGACAACTGCTTATTTGGGAAGCATCATAGAGTTGCCTTCCATTTATCATCTAGAAGACAATCAGAGTTGTTGAGCAGAATACACTCTGATGTATGCGGTCCTATAGAAGTGGAATCCTTAGGTAGCAGAAAATACTTCCTGATGTTTATTGATGACGTATCATGGAAGGTATGGGTTTATGTCCTAAAGACCAAAGCTAAGGTGTTCCACCATTTTCAAACATTCCATGCTATGGTAGAAAGGGAGACCGGAAAGAAGTTAAAGTGTCTCCGAGCAGACAATGAAGGCGAGTACATATCAAAAGAGTTTAAAGCCTACTGTGCTACTCGTGGCATCTGGTATGAGAAGACTGTTCCTAGAACCCTACAACACAATGGTGTAGCTAAGAGAATGAATCGAACCATTGTGGAGAAGGTCAGATGTATGCTCAAAATGGCAAAGCATTTGCACATGTATCCAAGGAGCACAGGTAGAAACTGGATGATAAAGTAACTCTGTGCATTTTTATTGGCTATGGAAATGAAGAATTTGGATACAGATTGTGAGATCTGAAAAACAAGGACATTCGAAGCCGAGATGTGGTGTTTCAAGAAGACCAAACCTTAGAAAACTTTAGGCAACCAGCCAAACCTAAAGTTGATGAAGTTTCAGAAATTGTTTTGAATCCTGCACCATCACAACATGCCACTGATGAAGAAGTGCTACTGCAGCATGCAACTAATGATGTAGAGTTGCAGAATGAATTTCTAGAAGAAGAAGAGGATGTTGAGCAGGGAGAGCCACAACCCCCTTCGCCAGAGACTGTTGGTCCACAGTTACAAAGATAAACAAGAGTGCCTAAGCCATCATCAAAATACCCTGCTTCTGAGTATATTTTGCTTACTGATGAGGGGGAGCCAGAAAGTTTTCAAGAAGCTCAAAATCAGAAGGAGAAGAGTACTTGGCAGCAAGCTAAGCAAGAAGAGATGTAATCCTTGCAGAAAAATCAAACTTATGATTTGATAAAACTTCCCCAAGGTCAAAAAGCACTGAAGAATAAATGGGTGTTCAAGTTGAAGAAAGATGACAGTGGAAAGCTAGTCAAGTATAAGGCACGATTGGTTGTCAAAGGTTTTGGGCAGAAGAAAGATATTGATTTTGATGAAATCTTCTTGCCAGTTGTGAAAATGACATCTATTCGAGTAGTTTTGGGACTAGCGGCCAGTTTGGATTTGGAACTTGAACAAATGGATGTGAAGACGCATTTCTCCATGGTAATTTAGAGGAAGAAATTTACATGGAGCAACCAAAAGGCTTTGAAATAAATGGAAAAGAAAACTTAGTTTGCAGATTGAAGAAGAGTCTCTACGACCTCAAATAAGCGCCGAGACAATGGTACAAGAAGTTTGACTCATTCATGGTGGGTCATGAATACAAGAGAACTGCTGCAAATCAGTGTATATGTCATGAAATTTCCCGGTGGAAACTTTATCATATTCTTGCTCTATGTTGATGACATGCTGATTGTTGGACAGGATGCCACAACAATCAAATCACTAGAGAAGAAGTTATTATAGTCCTTTGACATGAAAGACCTAGGCCTTGCACAACAAATTTTGGGTATAAAAATTATACGTGACAGGAAAGCCAAGAAGTTGTGGTTGTCACATGAAAAGTATGTTGAACGGGTGCTTGAAAAGTTCAACATGAAAGATGCCAAGCCAGTCAGTACTCCGCTGGCTAATCATTTCAAGCTGAGCAAGAGTTCTTGTCCCTCATCTAGGAAAGAAAGAGAGGAGATAGAGGCAATTCCCTACTCTTCTGCAGTAGGGAGTTTAATGTATGCAATGGTATTTACCCGACCAGATATTGCTCATGCTGTTGGAGTTGTATACTTCATATGGTTTGCTTATTTGATACTTCCGGTGCTTGATCAGATTCATTGTTTTGGAGGTCTCAAAATCTTATATTTGTTGTTTTTCTTTTTTTTTCTTTTCCCTCTTTCCATTTAATTGCAGGAATGTCATTCATGGAAGTGATTCGGTTGAGAGTGCTAGGAAAGAGATCGCATTGTGGTTCCCTGATGACACTGTAGATTGGCAGAGTAGCCTTCATCCATGGATCTATGAGTGAAATCCCCATCGTGTTTCGGTTGGTGGTGGAAAATTTGTCCTCCAGCTTCTAAATTATTCTACTTCATGGTTGTAGTCTAGATTGTGATTCAGATGTTGATTTGAGTTTTAATAGACTTGGTGGTATGGTACGTGGCTAGCATTTGTGGAGGAACATCAGCTTGTTTTGAGTTACTCCTAATTTTATATAGTAATTGGCATGAGTTGTGGTGATGATGATATCATATTTCTGTTGGTGTTAGTGACAGCAAATAATAGTCTAGAGCTTTACATTGTGGCCTGCTTCCAGTCTGGATTCTGGGTTTTCTTTGGAAAGAAGGGTCATTTGCTGAATTTTATTGGAAAATTACAAATCAATGAAAAATAGAGAAAATAAATTAAAAAACATGAATGTGCAAGAGTCCTCTGTAAAGTAAACTCACAATTTATGCTTATACTAGAGCAGAGATCCACTCATTTTTTATGTGTTTGTAATTACGTTCTCTACATTTTACTGATGATTTGTGACTTCTCCAATTCTATTTACTAGTTGACTTCTTCTATCAGGAGTTGTCGGATCAGATTCTGCCTAGATGCTGGATGCCTTCATAGAAGTACATTGCACATGTTAACCCCTGGATAAAATAATGTAAATATCTTTGATGGGCCTTAGGCCTTATCAACGTACATTTTTTCTTCAAAAAAATATTTCTTTTTGTTGGTAGTTTTGTGCATGAGGAAAGCTCTTAAGTTCTATACCGGTCTTTTCGGAATGGACTATTTCATTCGTCTTAAAATATTAATTTTTTATTTTATTTTTTATTATTTTAAAATATTTATTAAAAATCAATAATTAAAATAATATAAATTTTTTATTTTACGTTTCTTTTAAATTCATTGAGATCTTGTTTGGCAATATCATTTTTTAAAAGTCAAAAAATCACTAAAAAAATCAAAAAAAACTGACAATCTATATTAAAAAGTCAAAAATTTCATTTTTTCTCTACTTTTTGTATATCTTTTCGTAAAAAATCAAAAAGTTATTCCAAACATATTAGTTTTTTTATCTCATATTTTAGTCAAAAAGTTACTAAAATAGTTTGTTTTCAAACGAGGCCAATAACACAAAAAGTACAAGTATGACAATTGATATTCTTCAAAAAATTACTACCAAATGATAATTTTGGAAAATTAATTTTTTTTAAGTGTAATAATTATACTATCAAAAAAAGTTAGATTTCCCAAAATGAATTATTATTTTGGGACGGAGGGAGTATTTTAATTGATTTTTTAATTTTTTTTTTTAAAAAGATGTATAAAAAGATAGAAATAAGAATCACCTTTTTAAAAGTGACTTTTTGACTATATTAGCCAACTCTCCAAATAGCCTCTCAGATTTGAAAAGAGTCTTGTAATAACATGATTGCACTAGGAAGAACTAAGGTAGATATTTGAAAATTATCCTAAAATTATTGTGATTTATAGATGTGTTTTCTTTAAATAATTAAAAACTTTTAAAAGGACTCTAGTTTGTTTCAATGGCCATTTTGGGGGATAAATTGACTGGCATATATAATCAATAATTCAAAGAAGAGCTGAATGGTAAACAGGAAAAAAGTTTTGAGTAGGTAATTTAAACACAAAACACAATCAATAATGGTTCAAGTAGATGATTTAATCATTCTTGTAATCTATTGTTGCGAAGAACCCTATTTCAAAAAATATGAGACTTAAATGTTAGTTTCATGTTATCGACTTTGATCATCCTTAAAGATTTAGGATAAAAAATATTACATTTTGCAGTAATGCTATATTTACTGAATTTGGTCATGCTCGAATTGTCTAAATTTATGCATGATGGTTGTCCGGCCGGTTATCAGGATGCCAGTTGACACATCGATTGACAAGAGTGACAATCACGGTTGACAAGGGTGACGCATGTCATCTGTCCACGTCATTCGGGCGGTATTGGGCTCCCCTTATTTCGGTGGACCAAGCATTTTTCTTACATTTTGGTAAATAATTTTACTTCAAACCACAACCTAAATTATACTTTTTTAGATGTAAATTCAAATTAAAATTCACACCTTGTTGATCCAACATGGCATGAAAATCAATAAAAAAATTACATCTCAGCAAGGTGTGATTTGAGAGATGCCTCTAGACTTAATTTGAATGATCTGGTGACCAAGCTACTCATCCCAATATCCACGTTACCTCTCCATTGTATATCGGATGGAAAGAATCTGAAGCAAAACAAGCAAGTCAAGGTATGGTTAATAACAATATTGTTCATAATAGAAATCATTTATTCATATGCTTTACTTTAGTAGGTATAAAAATAGTCAATTTATTATTTTTTTTAACTTATTTAAGTTATATCATCTCTTTATTTTTTATTTATATGTTTGTAATAAGTAAAAAAAATTAATTTTTTTAATCCATCATAAAGTCAAAAGTTCACAACGAATGAAATGATACTCATAGCTTCTGAAAAAAAATTATTGCACAAAGGAGATGATCCTGCTTAGGATGGAGCACTATGGACAGGTGGTTACACATAATTCTCAATCATAAATTCAGATAGTACGAAGATCTCTTAGTTTGCAAGTAGACTTACTAATTTTAGAAAAATTCAACCGTGTGTATTATATACATTTTTTATTATGATTTTTGTACTTTTTTGTGGTACATAGAAAAATTCGAATACATATTTTTGGATTGTAGATCATTGGAGAATTTGCCCGTGTTAGATATTAACTGTGTTTGTCAATTCATGTCGTGTGGTGTGGGTATATTTTTTCCGCACAAAAATATAATTATATATTAATAATTAAATATTCAGATCAACTTATTATCGTTAAAAATCTCCTAATAGTAACTCAAGCCATCAATGTCCACTTGGGCGCCTGCAGTTGAGAGAGAGAGAGAGAGAGAGTAATTGCAGTAGTATAAATAGTAGAGGAGAGGGAAATGATCAGTATGCCATTTGTCATAATTAAAAATATTTGAATTACTCCCATCTCAAAATATTAATTTTTTGAAAAATTTAATTTTTTTGATAGTACAATTATTACATTTTAAAAGTATTAAAAGTATTAATTGTCATAACTTATGAATAAATTTAACGTTTTTAATAATCTAATTATTACACTTTAAAAGTATTAAAAATATCAATTATTATAGTTAATAAATTCAAAACAATGACAAAATAAGAAATTCATGTTATTTTAGTCATTAAAATTTTAAAACTAGACTACTATTTTAAAATAATAAAAAATAAAATTATGAGTGTTTTGAGAAGTTGGTAAAAAGTTGACTTTTTGACTTTTTGGACAAAAAACTAGCTTCTTTTGGGTAAAAAAGCTGACTTTTTTTGCTAAAAAAGCTAAAAAGTAAAAAAACTCATGTTGCCAAAATGAAGTAACTAATATTTTGAGACGGAAAAAACATAATCAAACATCAGGTATAACCAAACAATGATTGAATCATAATCAAAATGACATCATAATATCACAATATGTCATAATAAAAATACTAAAAATCATAATAAAAGACACATGGATATAGAATTTTTCTTATTTATGTACTTTATAATAATTAACACGGTAACACACCAAATGTTTTTTTTTTTGGGTGATAACACACCATACTTACTACAAGTATTACAGTTAAAGAGATCATACTCTCCACAAGTCTAGATGACATGATTTTCAAATCAAACTAAAAATCAGTTTTTGTTCACCCATGCATTCTTTTTGTTTGTGTCTTTCGAGGCTGATTGTGAACGCTTTGACCCGCCACTAGAACCAATTCCAGATTCATACCCGACTCTATGAACCCCAGGACTCGGTGGAGACTCCGGACTCGGTGGAGGCCCAGACCCAAATCCCCAACCCCATCCATTTCCGGGACTTGATCCCCAACCCCATCCATTTCCAGGTCCATTTTTGGGACTTGATCCCCAGCCCCATCCATTTCCAGGTCCATTTCCGGGACTTGATCCCCAACCCCATCCATTTCCGGGTCCATTTCCGGGTCTTGATCCCCAACCCCATCCATTTCCAGGTCCATTTCCGGGACTTGATCCCCAACCCCAGCCCCAATTAGGACCGTGACCCGACTCACTATCCCCCGTTCTCGCTCCACCAGACTCCACCTTTCTTCCACCGCCACTCGGGTTGGAGGCCCATGAAGGCCCAGATAGCAAGAAGAAAAGGATGAGAGTGAAATACAACATGTTGGGCTGCATTGTTGTTTTGTTTGTGCTGCTAAGCATAAGCCCTCTGGTCTAGGCTTTGTGAATTTGAAAGCTTAAGCTTGTGAAGGCTGATATATATAGGCCATGTTTGTGAAGGCTGCAGGGTTATTTTGTTTGGGCTTTATTTTTTTAAGATAGATAAATTATGATTATTGTTCAAACTAAGAAAGAAATAAACAACTATATATGCAGTATATTGTTATTTTCTTAAGATAGATAAATTATGATTATTTGTCCAAACTAAGAAAGAAATAAAGACTGTTAAGAATTTCTATATTGTTATTATATTAATTACAAATATAAATATAGATCAAACTTAACAATCATAGCCAGTCCAATAATACACCACCAACCATAGCTCAAAACATAAAAAGAATAATAATGTCATAAAAGATATCAATTTTTGTTATTTTTTTTAGATAGATAAATTACGATTATTGTTCAAATTAAGAAAGAAATAAACAGCTATATATGCACTATATTGTTATTTTCTTAAGATAGGTAAATTATGATTGTTTGTCCAAACTAAGAAAGAAATAAAGCATTACATATACCCCTCTATTGTGGTGTTACACAACTATTAAGAATGTCTATATCATTATTTTATTAATTACAAATATGAGGTAGACCAAGTTTAACAATCATTGCCAGTCCAATAATAATACACCAACCATAGCCCCAACATGAAAAGAATAATAATGTTATAAAAGATATCAATTTTCTTTTTCTTTTTTTTTCCATAAGAATTAAACTCACAACTTTACGTTATAAAATGGTACTATACAATTATTATATTAAAAGTCTTAATTGACCTTGGTTATTATAAGAATTCTCTGTTCTCGTATTTTTAACTTTATGTCCCAAAATATTAATAGTTCTATGTCTTATCTCAAATATTCACAGTTGTTAAATCAATATATAACAATTTTAAAAATATTTTCAGACATGCACAAAAGAATTACTCTCTTCATTTCAAATTATTTGTCTATTTTACACTTTAATCGGGTCAATAGATATGTGTTTTCATAAAAAAAGAAAAAAAAAGAAAAAAAGGATCTCATTAGTTTCTGTAGATATCATTAGTTTCTCTAGATAAAGTCTCTAAAATAATTAAAAAGAAAATAAGTTAAAAATTACACTTACCTCCTATGAAATTATTGACAATTACATACCTCCCTTATAATTTCAATAATTACACTAACATCTCTTACTTTTGAAATTATTATCAAGATTTTCCCACTGTTACCTTTTGTTACGCTATTTAACATATTTTGCTAAGTCATTCTATATTAAAAATGACGAAAGTGCCCATTACCTTATCTATTCAAATGAGAAATTTTATTCACCTTCTTGAAGTTTTGCATAGATATTATTAAAGATTCATACATATTTTAGCATTATTTAATAAAATTCTTAAATTTTATGCAATATTAAATAAAACCCTTAAATTGTCAAGACATTATTAAATTATTTAATGGAAAAAAATTTAATTTTCATTTATAAAATACTTAAAAAATAAACAATCTCTCTAAAATTAATATTAAATAATATCCTAATAATTTAATATAAGATTTATTCCACACTACATAAACAATATAAAACTTATCATTTTAAGTAATGCATTTATTATTGAGGTATTTAGTTTAACATCACTCTCCAACTTTTAGTAATAAGAGAGGTCCACAATAATTTTATTTGTAATCCAAGGTCCCTCCATATATCATACCCCCCCTCACTCTCTCTCTTAGATTTTACTTTCTCTCTCCTAAATTGATCAAAACATAGTGAAATTGTGAGCAAATCAAAGAAATTTCAAAATACAAAGAAAATCCAAAGACAGAGAAAATTAGAGAAATTGAGCAAACTAGAGAAATTTCACTATATTTTGAAATTTCTCTAGATTAAAATTTTTTTTGGATCAAAATTTCTCTAAACTGAAATTTTTCTAAAAGAATGTTGAGGAACTTTAACCACTATGAAAATATTGCATGTCTTTTATCGTATAAAACCTTCATACCAAGGACCCTAAAAAAAATTTCCCTTTATTATTTGAATTTTTTTTTTAAAGTTGAAATAAATGGATTTTTTTTTTCCTGGCAATTTGCATTACTTATTTATTTATATGTGAAAAAATTATTATTTTATCTTTTCTTAATCATATATTATTTTCAAATTTTAATTTTTATCTTTAAGTCATTAAACTTCTAGTCGATGCATATTTTTTTTAAAAAGAAAAAAAAGAAAAAAAAAAGAAGAGAAAATTAGTCTAACGTCCCTATCTAACTTTAGGAAGTAGGAGACATCCATAATTTTTTATTTTTTTATTTTTATTTTTTTTTTCTATTAGATAAGGTCTCTCACATTCTTTACTTTTATTTTACTCAAAAAAAAAAAAAATCAACTTTAGCCTTACGATTCTTTTGCTACATATTTGGGTCTCCCTTTTCTCTTTCTCTCTCATCCATGTCTATTATCTCTCTCTTCCCAAACCTTAAAACCGAAATCTACTATCTCCTTACTCTCCAACACCGCCACCTTTTCCTATCGCGGCCATCAGTTTCCATTATGGCATTGTCTTTTTATTTTTCTTCTATTCTCTTCTCTGTCTCTCTACAGGTTTGAATCTCTCCACCACCTCACAATCTTTCCTTTCCAAAACCTAGAATCCAAATCCATTATCTCCTCATTCTCTGACACTGCCACCTCCGCCTCCTTCCATTCCGATGATGGCTTTGTCTATGTCTTCAATGCCAAGTTTTGAACCTCTCTTCGTTACCTTCGTAGCCACGTCCGCCTCGTTGACCTCGTCCACTATCATGAGGATGGGTCCTTGATCTATTTGCTGAAGAATAAGGAGTAGGTAATCATTGACAACAATAAACTCACGAATCTAGAGGAATTTGGAGGACTTGCTAAAATTTCTCTAGACCTATACTAGATAAATTTCACTGGACCTTTTGCTGAAATTTCTCTGGACCTATACTAGGTAAATTAATCTGAATTTTTCTTCATAGAGTAATTTGTGTAAAATTTGTCTAAAATTGCACTGGACTTATATCAGAGAAATTTATTTGTAAAGAGAATTTTTTTTGAAATTTCACTAGACACATACCACAGAAATTTCACTAGACCTATATTTAAAATTTCTATATTATATTCATTTTCTTTGGTCATCACACACTTGCAATTTGAAATTTCACTGGACCTATATCTAAAATTTCTATGTAATGTTAGATTTTCTTTGAATTTTCTCTACAAATGTAGTTAGAGAAATTTACTTGCATATTGATTTTTTTTTTCTAACATATTTGATTTTTCTCTGATATTTCTCTGCAAATGTAGCCGAGAATCGATTTGCATGTTGATTTTCTCTAACTCATTTGAATTTTTTTTTTTCTGAAATTTCTTTACAAATATAGTCAGAGAAATTTACTTGCATGTTAATTTTTTCTAACATATTTGATTTTTCTTTAGAATTTCTTTGCAAATGTAGTTAGAGAAATTTACTTTCATGTTGATTTTCTCTAACTCATTTGACTTTCTCTGAAATTTATCTACAAATGTATTTAGAGAAATTTACTTTCATGTTGATTTCTAACTCAGTGAAATTTTGTCAATTTTTTTCTTCTGAATTTCTTATTCATTATGAATCTTGTTTGCTAGTTCTCAAAGAGCATTTCATAAATATAATTTTTGTTGAAAATGGACATCTAAATCAAAAGTTATTGAATTTTTAAGTTTTAAAAATTTTCAAAAATTGAAAGACGTTAGATTGAATGTAAAACGTAAGGATATTTTGGTCCAACAATTTTGGAGGGAAGAGGCTCATGTTTTTGATGGACTTGAGATAGTATGAATGTTTGGGGTGTCCTTGATCTCCTAAAATTGTAATATTAGGGACCTTAAAAAAAATCCCTTAAAAAATAAAGGTTAATATTTCTTACATGATTAAAACAATTTAAAAAATAAATATAGAAGTAAAAAAAAAAAAAATCTAATCATCTCACAAGAAATTAAAATTTGTTGATAGAGAATGTAGGATTAAGAAATCATTTGAGAATGATAAACAATTCAAACAATTTGTCATTTCTTATACTTAACATTAAACCCATCCATATAGAGACATGCATTGATACAAAAAAAAGATCCACATTCATCTATTCAATTAATCTTTACGTGAATAGATAAATTATTTGAGAATAATAAAATACTCAATTAATTTGTTATGTATGATACTTAAAATATATTTCTCCATCTTTATTTATCACATTTAAACTATTTTTATTAAATTAAATTTTAACCTTCATTAATGTAACGCCCTCAAAAAAATAACATTAAACCCATCCATATAGAGACATGCATTGATACAAAAAAAAGATCCACATTCATCTATTCATCAGAGTATTTCATTACAAAAGTATTACATGTTTATAACAAAAGCAAATGCCCTACGGGCTTACAGCTTTCCAAGTTGACCCTCGGTTACAAAAGAGAATGCTAACTTAATTACACATTAAGTCCTTGACTTGAATCTATATGTAATACAATCAAAGAAAATAAGGCAACAAAAGTATGTCTGCCTCTAGCCTCCCAAGCTATGTCCTCGGAGGTGGCATGCTACCTGTACCTGAAAATGATGTTCCCTTATAGGGTGAGTCACAGCCCAGTAGAAATATACTAAACCGACTATGAACAACGCCAAAAAGATTAGCAACAGATAGATGGTCAATACTTAAACTTCCATTTACATCTTTTTACAATTTCATGACAGTCAAGTCTATGTTACAATTCACTTTCCATTTCTTATTCAACTTTAAGTTTGAAAACAAGGCTCAATACTCTGGCCAAAACATTTGATGAGATTATAGTTCATCACTAGAACACCTTCGAAATTCCAAGTGGATACACATTTTGGTGCTGTATCAAAAACACATAAACTACTTCCATACTTCGCAAACGATGATGATAAACATATAGGTGCTATATCAAAT